GGGGTGACACCGCGCTCTGCCCACGTCCGCGTCCCGCGGGGCAGACAAACCTCCTCCGCGGCTTGGCCCGCCGTCCTCCAAACGCCGAGCCCTTGCCTTTATCAGGCAGCCGCTGTCGTCCTAAAATGAGCCACCCGGCAGGCCCGGCTGCCCCTAGCCGGCCCGGGTTTTCCTTTCACCTCGTCCCACTCCTAGAGAGGGAGAATGCCGCTCTCCCCAGGGCGCGGGGCAGTGCTGCGGGAAGGCGGACCGGCTTCACCCAGTGCTTCCGCTTTCTCCCGCCTTCCTCCCTCTCGTCCCGTTCTTTATTTTTATACTTTTCTATTTTGTATGGTAACCCTCCGCCTTGCCGTCTTCCTTCCTCTCTTTTTTTTCTTGCCGTCCGCTCCCGGCGAGCGCCGAGGCGCAAGTGCTAGGCGGGCGGGCGACCCGGGTACGCCGGGGAGCGGGCCGCCCGGCACGGCAGTCGGATCCCGGGAGCGTTCCAACTTACCCAGAATATGACATTGAAGCCGAAGATGAAGTATTTGATGCAACAACTGACTTCAGGACCCTTGTAGTGCTTCCCGGACATCCTCTGGGTTCATGAGGCCATCTTGCCCGGGCAGGCCGATTCGGAGCCCGACGCCCGAGGCTCGGAGCAGGCCCAGGGCGGCGCGGGGCGCGGGGCACCGACCCGGCGAGAGCGGTCCCGCGCCTCCAGCCCCTCGCGCCGAGGCCGCCGCAGCCGGGTGGCGCTGAGCGGGGACGCGGCGCACTGGCCGCCCGAAGCCTTCGCAGGCCGGGCCGAAGCACAGAGCGAGCGGCCCGGCGATGGCGTAAGCGCCGCCGGCGGTCCGTCGGCCCGTCGGTCCGTCCCCGGCTCCGGGAGCGCGGCCGCTGGCAGACATGGCCGGAGACGCGCTCGCCCGCTCCCTCCCTCGCCGCCCGCCGCGGCCGCCCTGCGCGCCCCCGCACGCCCCGCCCTGGAGGAGACGCTGTGTCGCCGAGCGGGGAGCGAGGGGGCCGTGGACTGACTGCGCCCAGTGCCAAAGCAGGTAGTTGAGGTGTTGGGAAGGGGAGAGAAGAGCCACAGGAAATGGCACGGGAGGACACGCGAATCCCTCTGCGACTCTAACCCAACCTCCCCATCTGCCGGAAAAGTAAGTCTCATCCTAGAAGTGGGGGCGAGGAGGGAGAGATGGCCCAAAGGATGCGGTCCTCGCCCGAGGGTCTGTGGCAACGGCACAAACCCGGACAACACACGCTGCCCCGCCCGCGACGGAATAGCGCCTAAGGGACCTCACTGCTTCTTGGGGCGGTCTTCTGGGAAATCCCGATCGGGTCTGTAGGCCGGAGCCACTAAGCTTTCGACCTCTGGGGCGGGACAGAGCGCGGCTGGAAATTGTTCTAGAGCCCTACCTGAGCAGGTGTGCCCGTAGTTGCGCACCGCCTCCTCCTGGAGCACCGTCACAGGTGCTGGCAAAGGCGGTACCAGTGTGTATGGAAGGAGGAAGGACCGCTCAGAACGTGTGTGAACGTCTAGGAGAATTTTTACGGCTTCAAAAAGCTAGAGAGATAAGATCCAAAAAATGTTCCAGGTGTGCAACCTGGTACTGGGCACAGAAATCAACACGTTTTCATAAGGCCGATTCAGGGAGGCCGAGAGCAGAAGTGACTTGGGTCAAGACCAGGGATTTTTACGTCTGGAAGGCCAGGGTAGGAATTCTAGCTCCTCTCCTGCTAACCGTCTGACCTCCGTTACTTAAATTCTTCAAGCTTCCAGGCCGGGCGCGGTGGCTCACGCCTGTAATCCCAGCACTCTGGGAGGCCGAGGCGGGAGGATCGCTCGAGGTCAGGAGTTGGAAACCAGGCTGAGCAAGTGTGAGACCCCATCTCTACTAAAAATAGAAAGAAATTAATTGGCCAACTAAAAATATATAGAAAAAATTAGCCGAGCATGGTGGCGCATGCCTGTAGACCCAGCTACTTGGGAGGCTGAGGCAGGAGGATCGCTTGAGCCCAGGAGTTGGAGGTTGCTGCGAGCTAGGCTTACGGCACAGCACGGCACTCACTCTAGCCTGGGCAACTGAGTGAGACTCTGTCTCAAAAAAACAAAACAAAACAAAACTGGCTAGCAAGTTGACAACCTACAGGCAAGCTTTGGCGGGGCAAGAAGTTACTCTTTCCTGCTATAAGCCACACTTTGAGATAGGCCTGGCCTTTGGGGGAACTGAGGCTATATTGAGGTCACCGGTATGAGCCAGGGTACTCACAAAGGTGTGAGGGCCAGGAGATCCTGCTAGTTCAGTACCACAGAAGCTATGACACTAGCTAACCGTGACTTCAGCCCTTTGGATGAAATAATCCTCTTTCCCTCAAAGCGCCTGCCGCCCACCCAAAACACAGACCAGTCTGGTAGGCGTCAAAAGGAAGGTCTTTCAACAGCAGATTTCCCTGTAAACAGGAAAGCCCTGACAAGCCTCACCGAAGCCTGTTGGAGCTATGTTGTCATTCTATATATAAATAGAACAGTTGCTGCAGGAATACTGGATAAGTCAGAAAAAGGTCTGTCTTAAGCTGATGTGACACATTTCAGAAAAGGACTAGAAATGAGATTCGACTGATGACAGAGCTAATCTCTAAATGTGATTTTATCTTTGAACTAAAAATTGACAGAGATATCCCATATGCCCCTGCCCCAACACATGAAGAGCCTCCCCGTCATCACCACTCCCAACCAAAGTGGTACAATTGCTATAATTGGTGAACACTTGGGGACACGTCATTATTTATAACCAAAAGTTCATTGTTTACATTAGGGTTCACTCTTGGTCTTGTACACTGTAGGGGGCTGGATAAATGTATGACATGTATCCACCATTATAGTACCATACAGTGTCATTTCACTACTGCCCCCAAATCCTCTGTGCACCCACCACCTAAGTCATTCCTTCCTCCCACGAACCCCTGGCAATCACTGATGTTTTACTGTCGCTATAGTTTTGCCTTTTCCAGAATGTCATATATAAGGAATCCTACGGTATGTAGTCTTTCTCTCAATTTTGCTGTGAACCTAAAACTGCTCTAAAAAAAAGTCTTAAAAATCAATGGAAAAGGGAAAGTTCAGATTAACTCAGTAATTTAAAGAGGGGGGAAAAACTAGTTGAATTCTCATCTCATTTCATATGTCCACAATAAGTTCTAGGAGGATTAATTAGGTAAATTTATTTTTAAAAGCAAACCAGAAGAAAATAGAATATTTGCTAAACCTCTGGATAGAAGTATTTCTCAACTTGGAAGCAATAGAAATAAAGTAATCAATGGATATAACTGGGTAATATCCTAAAAACTTCTATGTGTCAAACTTTTTAAATATAACTTAAACTAGAAAAGACAATATTGGCAGCAAACATGAAAAATATAAGTCTGAATATCTGTATGATAAGTAGAGCTTATATAGCTAAAGTAAAGTGTAGCATCTCAATGATTGAATATAAACAGAAAACAAACCACATAAGAAGAAATCAAAATAGTAACAAATCTATGGGGAAATTAACCTTTCCATAATCAAATATCCATTAAAACAAATTAACAAGCCAGGTACAATGGCTCATACCTGTAATCCTAGCACTTTGGGAGGTGGAGGTGGGAGGATCACTTGAGGCCAAGAGTTCCAGACCAGCCTGAACAGCATTGTGAGACCCCATCTCTACAAAAAGAAAAATTACCCGGTGGTGACACGCACCTGTAGTCCCAGCTACTCAAGAGGCTGAGGCAGGACAATCACTTGAGCCCAGGAGTTTGAGGTTGCAATGAGCTATGATGACACCACTGCACTCTATCCTGAGCAACAGAGCAAGACCTTGTCTCAAAAAAAATTAAAATGAAAAAATAAATTAATGATAAAGATACAAAGATACTGAGCACTGCTTAGCACCTACATTGCTGGTATCCTTATGAAATGGTATGTCTTTTTGAAAAGCATTTTGGCTGTCTAGAGCAGATCAGAGTGCTCCTACATTTTGACTCAGCAGTTCCACTTCTGGGAATCTACCCAAAAAAATACTCCAAAATATGGAAAATATTATATACTGCAAGTTACATATCATAGCATTATTTGTATTAAAGAGTTGGCCACAAATTAAAGATCAAAGAGTAAGGCAATACCAACTCCTCGCAGGCACCTGGACCACAATGTTCCTTACCATTTCTGAGCCTTTGCCCATGTCATTTCTGGTCTCCACCTGGAATGCTCTCCTTGTCGCTCCCTTGTCTATGAGCTGACCCCTCTTACTTATCCTTCCCCACTTTTGTTCAGCATCTTGGAGGCTCCTTCTCTGTTCCCTCAACTTGCTGTGTTCTTCCATTCTGGCACGTAGAGACTCCCTGTAATTACTTACCTGCCGGTCTCCCCTGCTCTGCTGTGACCCCTCAGGGTGTGGCCTCTCTCTTCTCAATCTTACAATCCTGAGTGCCCTGCAGATGTAGCAGATACTTGATAAATATTTATTAAAGGAATGAATGAATCATTTGCTCAAACTTTGTATAGCTATTAAGGATGACTGTATAAAAGAGTATGTGGCAATGTGTGAATACATTATAATGTTAAATTTTAAAAGCACTATATATGGAATTATCTCCAAGTAATACTGTTAAAAAAAAAAGCAAATTGCTAAACAGTACACAGTAGGCTGCCATTTTGTAAAAAGATAAGGTGTGTTGGCATAAGAATACACACACACACACACATCCTCGTTAATGGATGGGCTATCTATGGAAGAAAATAAAAGAAACTGGTAATAATGGGTTAGGATGGAATAGGGGCAAAATAAAGAACTAAAAGATATTGGTGGGAAGGAGACCAGCTTTATTTTTAAATATACTTTTTGTTTTGTTTTTGGAATTTGTAGTATGTGTATGATACACCTGTTTTAAAAAGTAAAGCAATCTACAAAATTGTATGCAATTATATGAAAAAAATTAAGAGTTAATTTTTGCCAAGTAATAACAGTTGTGAGGTTGTGAGTGATTTTGTTTTTATGTTTCTGGTTTCCAATTTTTTTAATGCGGTTATATTGCTTTTATAATTAAAAGATTAAATTATAAATAAAGACATAAGCAAGTAACTAAGTAATCATTATATTTATTCCACACAACCGTTTCACAACTCAATAAATTCTGCTCTATTTTAAGGAGAAAAGGAGAGTAATTTTCTACCTAGGACTGCTAAGGCCATCTCCTTTATAATTCGGAGGTTGAAAATGGTTAATAAGTTTAATCACTGAAAAGTTAATCAGCCCTTCAAGTGGCAGTGAAAACAGGTAGAATGCGTTCTTCTAGTAGTTGCCTAGCTGAACAGCAAGCTTGACAACAGCATTTTAACCTAAGACACCAAATTTAAGGAGCTTGTCTGTCTCCATCTCTGTTTTACTCTTCCCGCCCATCTTCCTGCCCCCTTCTCTGCCCTCTCCCTCTGCTCCTCTCAGCCTGTTTTTGTCTTCTCTGCAGCCAGCCCTGTGGTTACCTACACACACACACACCCGTGCCACCTTCCTCTCTGATCCGTGGTGGTGGTGATCCAGTATCACCCTATTTAAACAAACACATCGGCCAGGCACATGGTGGCTCACGCCCGTAGTCCTAGCCCTCTGGGAGGCCTAGGTGGGAGGATCATTTGAGCTCAGGAGTTCCA